GGGGGGGCGGAAGGATGCCGCCGGCCGCAGCCGGGGCGGTGAGTGGGGCCGGGAGGAGCGTGCCCTCGAGCAGGTGTCTGGGGGGCTGTGGCCGAGGGTCCCTGGGGGACGCTGCCCTCATGCCCCCTGCTCCTGCTCCTGTCCCAGGGGGCCGCGCCGGCCCAGCAGCAGGCAGCGGCACCGCGGCGGCGCAGGGCCCACAAAGAGGTGCTGGTGGCTGTGCCCCTGGGCAAGCACCCGCTGCAGAACAGGTAGCGCTGGCTCGTCCCCTGCCCCTGCCCAGGGATCACCCCCCGCCCGGGGGCACTGGGGGAGCCTGGCTGGGCTGGGGGTGTGGGGCGCAGGGCCTGGCATGGTGCTGACCCATCTCCTGCACCCAGGTGGGCGCTGTGGTTCTTCAAGAATGACAAGAGCAAGATGTGGCAGGCCAACCTGCGCCTGGTCACCAAGTTCAGCACTGTCGAGGACTTCTGGGCGTGAGCGTGGGCCAGGGCCAGGCCGCCTGCCCCCCAACTCCCCCCGAGCCCTGGGCTGGCGCTCGTTTCCTGGCCCCTGTGGGACACAGGCAGTGGCAGGGCTGGTCATATGACCCCAGGCAACACCATGCTGGGGTGGGGGGCAGTCCTGGTGCTAGCAGGGCTGGTGCCCTTGGCCCCTTTCTCGGGGCCTGGTGGGGTGGGGGAAGCTGTGGTGCTGCCTCGGCCTGGGTCCCCTGCGGTTTGGGCAGGGCCCGCCCTGCAGCCTGGTGTTGCCTGGGGGGCTGGGGGGGCACACAGGGGGTCCTGAGGTCCTGCTCCAGCCCCAGCGGCTCCCCTTGCCCGTGCAGGCTGTACAGCCACATCCAGCTGGCCAGCAAGCTGACGTCGGGCTGTGACTACTCCCTCTTCAAGGTGAGGCCTGTGGGGAAGAGGGCAGCTGGGATGAGCCCTGGGGCTGGGCACCCCTGGGCGCTGCGGCAAGGGGCTGCATGGGAGCTGAGCAGGGAGTCCTGGGCATCGTGCTTGCTCCGGGGACGGGGGTGATGGCAGGTGCTGGGGGCGGCAGGGTGGATGATGCAGATCTGGGTGGGGAAGGGGGTGCTGCTCCTGGTGATGGCTGCGCCCCCAGGACGGGATCGAGCCCATGTGGGAGGACAACCGGAACAAGTGTGGCGGGCGCTGGCTCATCACGCTGGCCAAGCAGCAGCGGCACACCGAGCTTGATCACTTCTGGTTGGAGACTGTGAGTGCGCCCAGCTCTGCTCTCCCCCGTGCCCCAAGTGGCTCTGCTCCCCCTGGGGCAGGTCCCCTTGGACCGGAGCGGAGCACAAGACCCCCAGTCCTGGGGGGCACTCCAGGCTCCCAGCCCTAGACACCCCCAAGTTTCTTGCCCCTGCCCTTCTTCACCCCCCCCCCCCCGGGTGCTGTGGGTGTGGGCAATGGTGTCCAGGCAGGGCTGTGCCCCTGAATCCGGCGGGGGCTGTGTACTGGACTCCCCATAACGCCCACCTCCGCAGCTGCTGTGCCTCATCGGGGAGTCGTTTGACGAGTACAGCAGCGAGGTCTGCGGCGCCGTCATCAACATCCGTGCCAAGGGTGACAAGATCGCGGTGTGGACCTGCGAGGCCGAGGACCGCGAGGGCGTCCCCCACATCGGGTACTGCAGGCCTCGCAGCTGCGGGGGAGAGGAGGGCTGCTAGGGCTGGGTATGGCCCTGCCCTGGGGCAAGGACCAGAACATGGCAGGCAGGGGGCTGGGGTGCTATGGCCAGGGCCTGGGGCTGGCAGAAGTCCTGAGCGCACTGTGCTCTGCTTCCCTCCCCGCAGGCGTGTGTACAAGGAGCGCCTGGGCCTGTCCTCCAAGATTGTCATCGGCTACCAGGCCCACGCGGACACAGCTACCAAAAGTGGCTCCCTCACCAAGAATAAGTTCGTGGTGTGAGGCCGGGCGGGCCCTCAATGAAAGCACTGCAGCCAGCACTGCCTCTGTCTTCGCTGGGGTGTAGGTGGGCTGTGCAGGGGTGGGGGGCAGGAGCTCCTGTACACAACGGGCAATCCAGCAAGCTCCTGTGTGGGGGTGAGCCCTTGCTCAGAGCTCAGTTCTGGGCCCTGTTGTGTGGCTACAGCTGGGTAGTGACCAAGGGAGCTGCCCTGCCCTGCCCTGCTCTAGCACCTGCACAGGTGCATCGCCTTTGCTCAGCCCAGGCTGCTGCCCTCAGCTGCTGGCGCAGCAGGTGCAGCCCATCCAGCAGGGCACAGCTCCTGGGGGTGGGGGTAGTAGTGAGCTCTGTGCTACGAGCCTCTGGTGAGGAACAGGCCGGCGCTCTGCAATGCACTGGCTCGGGCTGCCCTTCACCAGCCCTGGGCTGCCAGGGCCCTGCTGCCCCAGTGAGGGGGTGGTGCTGCTTAGGGGCCCTTGGCC